TAGTTATTAATAACTTGACTGTTGACGTCGACGCATCAGCGACAAATCATATTTGTTCTATGCGGCGGACGTCGACGATGCGTTAGGTTATGCATCGTCGACAACCTGTTAACAAAGTAAACAAATGCAGGTGTTTAGTAAATATATTCTTTTTTATTTTTCCACCAGTCCGTGATTTTTTCCTATTTCAATGAATACACCCAATATTTTGTCATCAAAACTCGCTTCTCAGAATAATCTGTTTATTTGACAACCGTAATAATATCATCATCTTTTAATTCATTTCTAACGGTAATAATACGCATTAGAAAACGTCAACTACAAACAATATTTTACCCTCATCAATTAAATGCGTTTATTACGATAGTCGTAATGTTGAATTAATTCAGACGAAAAAACAACAGAGTTATTTATATTAATTTAATTTCCAATAATTATTATTTAATTATATACACACGAAGTGTTATTGTTTCGCTTATGGGAACCGAACACTTTACGTAGGTTGGCAATTATATTAGTGTCCCAGTGTTATATTTGATGTTTCTAATAATTTCTTCAAAATTTTTTCGAAACATTTTTATTCGTGAAATCATACAATTTTTGAACATGTTGATATCAGATTATAATATCGGACTTAAAACATAAATAACATTTAAAATAAAAATAAAATTACTTTTAAAAGTTTGATGATTACAGACCAATGGAGCAATTTCCTTTAAAAATGATAAAATAGTTTGGGCTTCAATCGGTTTCATCAATAACAATCGTAATTATTTTTTTTCCATAATTTAGTAAAAGAGCAAAGCATTTGAAACCTATATGGTGTTTATGATAATTTAATAATGAAATAGAAACTGTTTGAAGAAAAACAATTTCTACGAGTATATGATTTTATCATCTAAAAATATATCATTTGACTACTGTGATCATCTGATATATGATAATTTCCCAAATAAATCGTTTTCCACGCTGCATTTGTTTTCCCGTGTATTGACGGTTAGATCTAGACGCGAAAACTAAGTCCAGTTAATCAACTACAGCGGACGTCTAAAATACGCAATATATGTTAGATCATAGTGAAATAGTGAAAGAGAGTGTTAATTGCATCTCAAGTTTTTCACGACAGCTATTCAAAAGTTATACACAGCAGCCTACAGATATTTTCCTTCAGAATTTTCGGAAAATGGTCTGTTCAACAACTAGGATGACCGTTATTAGTCACTCATCAACTGAATATATTTTTCCGTCCTATACCCCGCCTCTCTCCTTTCTCCCAGTTCTATAAGAATGGTGGAACTAAATAAATATTTATACATTGGACTCTTTATATTATTTCTTCAATATTTCGTTCTTTTCTCATTTCAGTAATCCGTCAACGTATATAATAAATTCATAAACGACTGTGGTAATCATTTATCCTAAAACATTTTTGAACTGCTTGGTGTACTAATTACTTCATTTTTTCATCAATACAAAAGTGGATCCATTTTTTTATTTTTACTATTTTATATATAATTTATGCAAAATAGTAAAAAATAAAAAATATATATTATATATTTTTTTATTATTATATCATATATTGTTCAAACTTTATATCGAATACCATATATATTTAATAAAAATCTTTTTCTAGATATATTATACAAATCAAAATATCAAAATTCGATTATTTTTTTTTATGTAAAATGATAAAAACTATATGAATTTAAAGTACTCTTGGGAATTTTGAAAATCTCATGACTTCATTTGTAGAACCACGTATGAAAGTATATTGTTTTATTCATGAGACTAGACATAACTTGAAATCAGTAAAATGTTGACAACTCTTCACTATTTGACTATAGACTGACAAATAATATTTTGAAAGCGATCATAAAAATAACGAATTTGTATTTAATTCAAATAATATTCATGTATTGAAATATTATGCCGTTAAAATTAATAAAATATTACTAATTAGAGAATTTATAATTTTAATTGTTAATCGAAAAAGTTGTATAATAGTATTTCCAATTTATATAATATCCTCTATCTAGAAATACAAATTATTTTCCTATAAAATAATTTCAATAAGCGACGCTCGTACACGTCAGTAAACATTGCTTCATACAAATCATCTTATAAGAACCAAATTTGATGTAATTTTAAAGTAATAACGTATAATAAATAGCTTTAATGACATTCCATTGCGAAATTCCGATAATGGATAGACAAACAATTTGAAGTTAGAATAAATCATCTATAGCATAATGTTTAAACAATTTAACATTAACGTAAAATATGTATACACTGTACTGCGTTTGACTGTTTTTAATGTGTGTAAACATTCACTATACAATAGAAAAATTAAAGTATTTTTTATTAAATTATAGTGTACTATAATATACGAATATTTCAAATAGATCATCATTATAAATACCGTATCACTGAAAATATATATATATATATTCAATATATTCATTCGCTAATATAAATAGCTTGACCAAATGATTGATGAAACCCAGTTAATTTCAATTTTACCGATCGTTGAGATAAAAAGCAATCGAATTCGAAACTTGTTACCATAACAGAATTCTTATAATTTTCGAGATTCTAATTTGATTATAACATAGACGTTTCAATAATTATCTTTGATTTGCTACTTTAATTAAATCACATCAATATTATTTTCTTTTAATTCATATATAATTCAAATTTTCCGAAATTTAATAAACCTGAATCGATAAGAAATCTTGGTAAAACCTATATAACAAAACAATAACAATCTCTATGGCGGATGAAAGTTAAAATTATTCGTTGTTGTTATTACTAAATCCTAAAACTATAAATATAAATTATTTTCTAAATAGTCGTACTCATTAAGTTACAAACCTTCTACGCAGTAAAATCATTTATAATTTAATTGCTTTCTAGTTACATTGGACTCAAAGTGGATCATTTATTTTCGTAACGTATAAAAATTATTATATGCTTCTACTACCAACTATCCATATACCACCAAATTAATACTCTAATGTACATACATCAGTAATTATATTACAATTTTCTTTTTCCTTAATATTTTATTTAAACTTACGTAGCTCTCTGTTGAAACATTAATCAAAACACAAAAAAAGAACAAGGAGTGAGTAAATTTATATGAAGTTTTTCAAAAAAATCGTTAACTGATTTTTAAAAATCAACTTATAAACAATAAAATAATAAATAAATATTATATTTTTAACATCGTAGATGAATTATTAACTTATACATTTTGTATTACTGATACATAGTAATAATATAACGTGAATATGATATGTTTTTTTTTCAAATTTACGAAACATAATATTAACATATCATTATTAATATATCATTTATATTATGACTACATTATCATATTTTATTTTTTTTAAACTACATCTTATAATTATGTTTCTTTGTATTAAACAAGGTTATTTTAGCATATCAAAGCTTAATTATTTTACGACACTTAATAAAATATTTTTTAAATTAAAGTCTTAATGTTAAATACATAACATCTTTTTGTAAGTTGATAAATACAGAAAATAAATTTCATAAATTACACTTCTCATTTATGTGACATAAATAAACTCTCAAACATTTATACCAAAATTAATTTTTTCGACCGTTGGAAATATATTTCCCTTCCACTAATTCTAAAAACAAATTCATTTCTTCCGAATTATTCTTCCAAACGAATATCTGGGTCAATCTTGTTATTCAGACATTTTTTCTGCAGTAAAAATTTAACAAAAGGAAATTTAAAAGACATTGCAATTATTAAACATAAAGAATTGGCCAAATTACGGTTTAAAACTCAAATATATTTACCATCAAAATGTACACAACGTTATTAAAATAGTATTTTCACAACAATACTCTATCAGATTTCTTTAATTTAAAAACATATAACCGAACATTTCACGAACATTATTTCGTGAGTTACAATCGAAGTGATATATATGTATATTCCTAATTCCGATTCATAAACTATATATTATTAATGACGTATACACGCTTTGTACACATTTATACAAATATAAAACTATAATGCTTACTATATTTTACGTCCAACGTAGTTTTCGGTTGTTCATGTGTATAAATACATCACAGTACATTGAATGATTCATAATGGGTTGTGTTATTTTCTCATATCAGTCAAAAATGTGAATATTAATATATTCGTGCAACGTGCTTTGCGGAAATGGACACGTTTTTAATTTTTATTAATTAAAAGTCATTTATTAGTTTATTTAATGGCCAGAGTACCTACTATGGATCCTACTTATCCAAATGACGGTTTGGGATTCCAAAAATCGATTCGTGTCATTTGAAAAATATTATACGTTTTTCATACCTCGTGCCGAATAACCGTAACAGACAGTTGTGGTCTAGTCTGCGTTAAAAACCAATAGTGTTCATAAGACCGTTCGTCGGTAGGTCATGTTGCCGGTCGAAACTAGTATTAAAATAAATGGTAAAACATCACACCCCCGCGCGCGAACAATAATATTACTAACGATGTCGTGCGTCAAGGTTCGCACCCCAGAGCAAGAACGAATAATGAAAAAAAAATAAGAATAAAAAAAAAACTACCGCACATTCGAAACAACCAGACAACCAAAGCCAAAACCGCACAAATGACCGAGCCAAGTGAAAAAAAAAAAAAAAAAAAAAAAAACGGCACGAAAAAGATACACGCTCAACATCCTGCGTCTTATCGGCGTACACATGGCAGGCACACGCATCGTCGTGCATCAGACCTTGCGATCGCAAAACGCGCGAAATTTTCTACTCGCCCTGAACACTGTGCGTCTGTGTTTTATCCCTCGCAAAACCAATTTATTCCGTGGCATCGGATCGATACTTCCGATACGATTTAAGTGAACGTTTAATTTTTCGATGGCAATAAAATAAAACTTCTCTCGTTGTTTAATCCTTACGAATGTATGATACAGTAAAAGAAAAAAATATTTATCTTTTTTTCTTTTTTTTTTCAGAAGGTGCTGAATGATCAAATAGTGGACGCAAATTATCTTTTAACAGGACGGTTCTGTCAATGCATCGGATCAATGGCCTAAGGTTGTTAATTTATTTTTTTCCTAATTTTTATGGTATCGTTTACTATTCTATCGTACATTATAGTATGTGTTTAACTTTAAACTTTATTACAAACATGTATTCGTACGTTATATTTTTACACTTGGCAGACAAGTTTTAAATTACATTTTTTGAGTTAACTATTGTTTATTCGTTATTTTTTTTTTATTCCGGGTAACATTTACAAAAGTCTGGGTGTCGTGTAAGTTTTAAGCCGCCATCCGTACCACAGTTTAACTGAAACCATTTGTAATGTGTGATAAAACGTTGGTAAAAAAATAGAATATATGTATATATATATATGTATGTGTGTATGAATATAATGCATGACAACTTTTAATCCATACTACATATGAAAAGTGTCTACTGTAGTTTGTATAACTCAAAAATGGTTCATGAAAAAGAACATTTTTACTATTTTATAATAACAATAATACTAATTAGTTGTATTGCATCGGTTTAAAAGCACTAAAAAAACTAAATGTTTCTGATGAATTATATAGAATTGTTGTATCTCAGTATATATATAAATAGAATATCTTAGCGTGAATTTCATCTCTCACAGATATTAAATTAAAAATAGGCCATTTCCTTCATGATTATTAATCCGTAGTTGTACAAGAACCCTTACCTTATTTTCAGACAGAGATAGCTGACCGATGGTCGTCTTAATGCTCCTTCTCTTTTTTTTCAATCTTAGAGACCCTCCCCCACGTAACTCTATTCACCGTTTTCATCCTACTAATACTTATAATATATATATAATTATAATAATAGCATTATTAATTCCTTGAACCAGATGATGTGGTTGGTTAAAGAAAGCATCAATCATCAAAAATTATACTATTTGGTGTTTACTTTTTATCATTACCGCTATTATTATTAATATAATAATTTACTTTATTTGTATTAACTTTTGAAGCCGAAATATGTAGTCAATTGTTGTATTTATATATACCGTCCATTAATAAAGAATTTAAAGATTAATGATAAATAGTTTATTATAATATATATATTTATATTTATTTATAATATATATATATATATTATTTTTAATTCATCCGATGTGAATACAATGGATATACGCTTCATTTTGAAGTTAAGGAAAAAGAAAAATGTCGTTGTGAATATTAATTAATAAATATACTATAGATAGCATAAAATATAAACAATAATCATACAAAGAGTATTGTTAATTACTATAAAATACACTATTGATTCGATATGATTTATGAATCCTTACAAGTACCTAGAAAAGGTCCAAGCGAATTCATTAAAACGATCACGTTTAAAAAATGACAATCGATTACATGGAGAATAAAATAGTCCTGTTATACAAATATACTCGTATATATTATATTATATTAAATTATAAATTAATTTATTGATGGTTGTTACAATTTTCTACTATATTGTACATACTTTAATTTAAACTGAAACCAATTAAATTCCTATCGAAAATGTTAATGAAATTCTGAACATAGTCTAAATTATACAAAATGTACAATTTATTTTATCATAATTCGATACAAATTATTAAATCTTATTTTTCCTTACAATTTGATTGCTAGTTTGATTTTTGTAAACACTTTAACTAATTTTAGTTGTATTAAGTATTCTACGTAGTTTATTATTTATTTTATGTTAAAAATTATGACTGGCTTAAGACTAGTTTGTTGAAACGTAACAAATTATGCAATAACTATTTTATAAATAAATATGAATAAAATTTTTATGGACACTGAAAAATTAAAAATATTGAACGATAGATAGAGTAAATAATAAAAATAATAAAAATAAAAATATTATTGCTAATCATAACAGTTAAATCGTTAAAAGTATGTTTATTTGAAAATACAAAAAAAATTATTCAAATAACGAATTAATCATATAGTATTAAATCCATCAAACACATGAAATGTATTTATTTAGACATAAATACTCGTATTAATAATATTTTGTTCTTACTGAACTGAATTATTTGTCATCATTATTGTTAAAGTTGTAAAGCGGCAAATTATTTGTTTATCAAAAGACATCCGGAATTTAATGAGCTTTGTGGTTCCTTAGAAAGTTATTTAAAGTTTGATTATCATCCCGAAAAACCCTTATAATATTTAATATACTTTGAAATTTTGAATGACAATAATACAGTTCAAATGGTTTATATAAAATTGTTGTAATTTTTAATCGTTATTCGCTGTATACATTAATTTATTATGTATTTAAATAAAATAAAATCTATTTAGTTTTTATTATTTCACTAATTTTTATATAAAAATAACTAAATTATGCAATCAAAAATGATTACAGTTTTTCCTCATAAACGAAAAATGCTGCTTCCAAAATACTTAGTAAGTAAAAGTCAAATTAATTTTAAAATATTTCCGTTTCAAACGTAAATATAATTCATATTAAATATATTACTTTATTGACTATCCATTAACATGGGTAATTAATATGCTTTAAATAATGCTGCAAAAATATATTTTAATTTATAAAGATAAATTATTGCATAATTTAGAAACTCAAGTAAATATAATAAAATATTTTATTTTATTTATAACAATTTGATAATTTATAAACACTATTTACGCATCATGAACGTTTTAATACAAAAACTCGAAATCTATTTATTATCTTCTAGGATTTTTTGTTACATTTGTATAACATATTTTAAATTTTGATCATTTCAATAGAGGATTTAGTTTTTGTTGTAAGTAATTTTCATGAAATATTATACAACTTAAACCTGTGATTTATGTTATTTAAAATATAGTTTTCAAAACTGAAAATGTATATTTATTAGTTTGTTTCATGCATGCCCTAATTTTCAAATTCCTATCAATCAAGCAGAGGAAAAAAATGTATTTTTTATTCATCGTATAGTGTAAAACTTCGTTCATAAATATTTTAAATTCAACTTTTTTTTAAAAGGCATATTATACTCACACTAATTTTAAATAAATATATTTCTTTTTTAATTTAATATTTTTACAATACAATAAAATAATATTCTAAACTCAGAATGGTACAATTTTTAAAGTTTTACATTTATTACATTAGTATTATCAATTATCTAATATATTATGTTATCATTTATGCTACAGTGTTTATTATTGTAAAAACAAACTAAATATGTACGAAATCATAAGTATAACTTAATGTTCTTTAGAATAATTCAAATATCTCTCAAACGTGATTGTTAAATAAGTTGTTTATAAACATATAGGGAAGGTTCAGTATTTTAGTTTATAATACGAATTGAAGACATCTCTATTTCACGACCGTAAATGTATAATAACAATTTCAAGAGTAGAATTGTAGAACATAGAACCGGATTCAATTACTTGTTAACTTGTTAAGTAACCATGTTAACTTGAAAACCATGAAAACGCCATATTGACCCTTTAAACTCTAACTAACACTTGACTTCGTAAAAAATGCAAAAATATGCGAGAGAATGAAAAAAAAGTCGAAGAAATGAACGAGAAGTATACAAGTATATAGAGTGATTTTTTTAACAATGCCCTTTTTTTGTTTGAATTATGCATTTTTTTCAAATTCTAATTTATGGAAAATGTATGTGTACTTTGAGGCTATATTTTTAAATGCATAGCTTTTATTTGAGTATCCTGTAGCAGTATTGTAAAACTCATGTTTTTAAAATCAAATACTTGAAAATGGCAAATTTTTATTAAGATTATTTTCAAGAAATTCTTGATATAACATAGATAAATTTGGGACCAAAACTTTCGGAGTTATTTTAATGTATCTATAGAGGATTTAGAATAATTTCCTTAATTTATATAACAAAATTACTACAATATTAGGATAATACAATAAAATTTGTTATTTTATTTAATGTTATTAATTTCTGATTCGAAATAAAACGAATCTAATATAAATTCTACACTTATTAAAAAAAGAAAAATAATAATTTACTTATTATTTTACATTTTTCGTAATCAACCTTTATTTTAAATAATTTTGAAAATACTAGTCCAAATGTTAGTTAAAATGCATCAAAAGTTCCAAAAAAAATAATCAACAAATTATTTGCATAAAAAAAAAAAGTGATGATAGTTGAAAATGTAAAGTTAATATTTCTAGAGAATACTCCCCAATATGGGTACGTAAAATCTATGTACTACAAAATAATGTCTTTTAGTACACCATACGTATTCCATAAATCAAAGTTTGGAATGAACATAATTTAAGCATAAAAATGGGTTAGCATGGTAAAAAAAAATATCCTGTATATACATATACATTTAAATGTTTCTATCTAAAAGGGAAGAGAGAAAAATAAAATCTAAAAGTACCACCTTTTGCGTACACGCGGCGCAGAGTAATTTTTAAAATGGATAAACCAAACTGACGGCGCAGCTCGTTAACTGCAAGTTTTACATAGGCACGTCCACGCACGGTCGTCCTGCCGAGTCATCGATTTCTTTCAAAACCTATTTATTACTTCAATTTTGAACACTGTGACACCACCCTGGCCGGCACGGTCACTAACTTTTCACCGGACTAATAGTGACGTCACGAGCCATTTCTGCTTTATGTATGTACACTATACGTACGTATGCCTTATACAACATTGTTCGTTTAACAACAAATGTTGTTTTGGCGGGTGGTAAATTTACGTGGCATAAATCATACTACGAGTGCAGAGAAACAATGCAAAAGTGAGAACAGAAAAGGAACCTAGTCTTGAAAGTAGAGGCAGTAAAGTAAATTTAAGAGGAGTAAATTATTAATTAATTAAAGCGAAAAAATTTAAAAAGCTCGAGGAGTAGACCAAATAACCGGCACAGTGTATGGTATTGGTGGTAACGAAGTTTTGGATAATCGTAAATATTGTGTCTCTTATCCAGGTTTCAGTGTCCACCCCGACGATCACCCCTCCCCCCAACACACACACGCACACACGCACGTACCAACTATGTCAATCGATGAGAAGAGGTAGCGACCATTAA